TTTCCTTAAATACTTTAGAAAACGCTTGAATAATATTATTCTTTCGTATCGTAAAATTCATCTTCATAAAAATATTATTAGAGAAACGCTCGTTATGCTTATATTCAAATATACTCTCTATTCAAATGTATATAAAAGCAAGATAGATTAGTATTAATCGACCACGGAATGGTTATAATACTACTATATAGAAAAGAATGGAAGAGAAAGAGAGAAATCTTCCGCGGAATCCCACGAATATCGATTTAACGCAGGACGATCTTTCGTATCTCCGTTAAAACGGCTCGTTCACGGACTTATCGAAGCCGGTTTATGAGGCGTCCGAATCGAATTTTTCCGGCAACGACGGCGCATAATCATTACATCGGACGCCGGTTTAACCAGTCTCGATAACATCTTTCCCATGCTAAATATACCACGGTGCCGGCTAAATCCGTATCGTGGATTCGCGGTATTAAATCGTGCGGTTGCGCCGGTCGCAAAAACCGGGTCTCTTTCGGTTTTTGAGCAATGACCGCGTTGCAATTCATTTCGAGGTCTTGTTAAACTCGCCACGACATCATAAATTCTCCACCGGATACGTTATCTCGTAATTGTTTCGTTAGATGTTAATTACCGGTAGATTTAAGGCGTTGTAAACGTAAATGTAAGCTAATGTAAATCATTAATTCTAACTTTGAATATCTTCTTAAAAAAATAATCATTTTCTTGCGATAATTTAAGCGAAACCGACGATTGAAATTTCCGCCATTAATTATAGATGGCTCGCGATTTTGCGCGTTTCGCATTGCGCACTGTGGCGAACTGATTCTCTTGCGCAGACGCCTGTCAGCTTGCTTTCTTCGTCGTGAAATTGCCGCCGAACGTAACGTGTGAAAGATTAATGTGTTCGTGAATAGCGGAATGAATTAGCTGTGCAAGATTAATCGCAGCCGAGCTGGGACGATGAATTATCCGCGATTCGAAAAATCAATAAGGTAGGCAGTCGGTAATTAATTTGGCGAAATCACGGTTAATCGCAATAGAAGGTTATGGAGAGACGATGGAACGCCGTCTTATCGAATGTGTAATGGCGTCCGAGCATGCGAATGTCGCAACAAAGTCGTATGTTAATTGGTGTTAATGTTTTCATTTGTTCACCTGCTGTGCTGATAACTGTTAAATTATATCGTTTGGATTTGTGATGAATGTTCGTGTATACGGAAATGGATGAATGGAACTTTTTGGATAATGTTTGATTGGAGAACATGGACGCCATTGGAGTGAATGAATTATTTTATTAAGTAAGTTTATTTACGTATAATATGATTATTGATTTATTAGAATATTTATTAGAGATAAGTAATGCGTTGCTTAAAATTGATCCGTTTTGATAAATGAATCGATGCAATTCAGCTAATTGCAACTTTTACTTATGATTTATAATTTGTTGTATATATTTTCTTGTATCATTTTTTACAAAGAGAATTTCATCCGAACAATATATGTTTCGATCATTGAATTACTAATACATACATATATATATTTTGAAATTAATATCGAAAAAGTCTTTCACGCGAAAGTTTGAGAATTTATTAAACCAATTGTGAATAGTTTAGGTTAGGTACAATATATATGCGTAGATTAAATTATTAGATGCATATCGAAATCAAATCTTAATTTTTTATTGTTTCTATGCAACAAACAATTACACAATTTTACAGTGAAAAATATTTCTATCTAGGATAGTATATATAAATTGAGAATCAGTACTTTATTATTAAAATCTAAAATTATTAATATTAGAAAATAGAGCATTAAGTAAACGCTTTTGGTCGTTTCGTACAGTACATACGTACAGTAAAATATCATTTACAAATATTTTTTATCTTTTCTTAACGTTCATTTCTTCTTCTAATTACATCGTTCTGGTTCTAGATAATTAAGGAAATCCTTTTGATAAAAGATATATTTAGAGAAGAATTCCTTTTTAGCGAGATAGTTTATTGGTAGATCTTGTTATAAATTCGAGAAAAAAGTATTTATCGCTTATATTTAATAATTGTTTAATGATTCGACATAAATAATTCGCATTCCAAAAATAAAATCTCGTTTTACAATTTTTCCAGCATGTTTTTTTCTATGTATTGGATAATATATCTGTAGATAGATTAAAAAGAGCAATTTAAACTCGTTCGATCGTTAAATTTTACATGTTTGAAAATTGCATGGAAGATATCGAAGAAAAAGCATTGCATATTCGTTCATTTTTCGAAATTATATTTTTGTTAATTGAATGATGCATTGCAACTGAAGTACAAATAGTTAATTGTTTCTTTCGTTATTAATGGTAATTGATATGGCGTGAAAATATTTTATAAAATTGAATGATCAATAAATATTATTTTCGTTATTTAAAATTTCTCAATGAAAAATATTTTTCTAAATATATAATATTATATATTTAATATTATATATAATTTAAATATAATAGGCTATAAATAATATTAATATTCTAGAATATGCATCCTATGAATAATGCATTAATATTTTTATTAGAATATTTCCCATAGGCTTTGAATAATAAAATAATAAAAGTATCTTGAATAATTAAAGCTTTATATATTTAAATTGCAAAAATATTTCTAGAATATTAATTTTACTTTCAATTATAGATTACATTACATATTCACGTTATGTATTACAACAAAAACTAAAAAATCATATCACCTCTGAAACCATGTTCTATTCCATATAAATATCTCAAACAGTTTCCAAGCTATTGCCACTTATTGAAACACCTGCTACATGCTTGGAGCAAAAACACATGTAACAATTCATCAAGTACTAATAGTTCAACCCAGTATCTAATTATCATCAACATGAGTTTACAACATGCAACTATTTCCTTTAGAAGTATTTGCAGTATGTTTAGTTCATTCTGTTGATGGATGAACTTTGAAAATTTATATCCAGATTAAAAGATAGAGGTGCACAAAATTATAATCCCGTTGGTATGTACGATCTATACATTGGGCCCGTTAGATATTACGAGCTGGTCGAGTTTGACAAAGAAAAAGAGGGAAAGAGAAGGAGTGAGTGGGGAGGATAACGAAAGAGAGAGGGAAAGAGCAAAAGAGGGACATGTTGGCCGCTCCGTTAGATCAAATCTAGGTCGTTACGCGCATTTCTAAAACACTTCGACATTAGGAGCAGCGCTCGAGATGCGCTTGACCTTCATACTAATCTCGACCTCGAACCTTGAAATTTTTCGCGAGGACGCGATGACCGTGAGAATAAATGAATTCCGACAATTGAGGAAGTAGAAATACTTTGAATTAATTAATATTTAATTAATCACTATAGGATGAAGAAAATTATATATTACAATTACATAGTAGACTATTTAGAAGAGAGTAGTGATCTATTAATTTTTTTTTAATTATAAAGGAAGATAAAATTTTACTTGAAAATTTTCAGAAAAAAAATTAAGAACAATAGATTAATTAAATTAATTCATAAGTTAGGATAAAATTATGAATTTTTTTTTCTTTTTTAAAGTTTTAATAAAAGAAATTTATTATCATTACCTGCTAAGGATCCTTATTAAATATCATTCTCATTAATGTATATTACACAGATCGTTACAAATAATTTCCACGAAACTTTACACGTATAATATTCTCGTTTCTTCGACATTCGCCCAAATTAACGCTTTATTCGCGTAACTCTTTCCCTTCTGCTAATAACGTTATATCTCTCATAACAGTTTGAAATAGACAATGAATCATACGAGCAATCCAAATCCGGACAAAGTAATCTTCGCGTTTCGATCGTTAGAGGATCGTTCTAATTGCAACACGTTGATTCGAGGTACCGTTTTCGTAAGAACAGAAAATGACGCTCATCAGGAGGAGCGTCGTAATTCGGTTCGTTAGAGAGACGTACAAGTTGTACAAGATCGGTGATAAGTGCGCCGACGAATGTTTCAGAAACACACTCTCGGCTCAAGAGGAGTAAACAAAGGAGAATTCTCACAGTGAATACGACAATGAACCTGACAGCCCTTATGTAACATTAACAGACTCCGAACACACGACGAAGACGTCTCTCAGAGGGACGTGATCTCGTAATTATGCGCGGCCTGTCTCGTTTCTTATTTCATCGAAATCATTATCGATCTCGAGATACTTCAAATTCAATCACAATTTTTAATCGTTAAATATCATAGCGCAAAGAAACAAAAAGGCAAAAAAATTATACAATATTTCGTATAATAGACAATCCAAAGCGAACGTTAGCCCACGTATAGCTACTTAATCCTCCTTACTATATCGCTATGTACACCATAGCGAAATGATCGTATACACTCGCCCGTATTCCGTATTCCGCGACAACAATGTAGCCTCTCTCGTCGTCCAATAACCCAATGAGTCGAGAACCGACAAAGGTGGTCACCGGGGCGGAACTGGGCCAGAAAAAGAACCGCGTGTACGGGGAGGGAGGGAGGGAGGGCCTTGCATCGTTCGTAATTCTCGGTAGCCGGTGTCGGTAGGCAATCTGATCCCGGGACAACGGGTTCGGAAGCATCGGTTGTGACAGTAAAATATCAGCAGGTACCAAGTCAGTGTGGCGGAGCGATAGAATCGGGAAAGGAGGCAGGTATATAAGCGCGGCCTGGGCACAGGCACTCCCTATCCCGGCAACAGTCCCCGGGGTACTGTTAGCCACCGATGAATGATAACCGTATCGCGATATGCGCCTCTCGATACAATGGGGAGTAAACGGGCCGAGCGAAGAGGGGCCGATCGCACGAGCCCACGTTTCTGAAATAGAAGGACTATTTGATCGATAATTCACCGTGGCGAATGGAATAGCCTTTGCCGCCTCGATTCCGCTGCCCCCATGCGCGACGATCTTTTCGAGTCGGATTAGAAAAAAAATTTTTGAAATTATTTTACTTTTAGGAAATCGAGACGACGATGAGTCAGTTGTCAGTCTAGATAGGCGAAAGAATCGAGATATCGGTATTTTTATCGTGTTGTCTAGGTCTAACAACTTGTTGAACTGTCTCTCGAAGATTTAGACATCGTCCGGGAATTACGAGTAACAACTCGATGAAATGTTGTAGAGAGTCCAATGAGATCCAATTAAGATTTTCTAACTGGGACAATGTATAGGGCGTTTATCTAAAGTCGAATCTCGACATTCAACTCCGAGGCATATACGATCTTAACGTGATGATGTAAGCACATTTTTTTTTATTATTTCATCTCGACATCTCGAGAAAGAGATACGTTACGTGTTCTGTTATCAATTTGAAAAAAAAAAGAAAAGGAAGAAAGACATTAAAAAAGATAACTCGTGAGATTAATAATCCGTTAAATGCAATAGGACGAAATATCGCGCACCTGGAACCACGTTCAATTTTCCAATCGAACAAAATGTTCCCGCAGGATTAACCAGCGTCGTTTGTCCTCCTCCTTCCCTCTCCACCAAATTTACGACAGCATAACAACGAACCTTGATTAACCGTGGAACTCCGTGGTTCGCCGATAATTGAACTGCACAATTTCCGGTTCCCTCGAACTCTTCTCATCCGCTCCTCTCCTCGTCGCAACCGCCTTTTCTTCCGCGCGATCTTTCGAGAATTTTCGTTCGATCGAGGGATCGGTCGAAGAGAGATTTTCAACGTTCGGTTTGAAGGCGAGACGGGCGAAGTTGGTCGTGGAAACGAGGCGCGCGATGTCAATGTCCTTCCTGGCTGGTTTCATCATCACGTTTGGGAATCCGGCGTGTGTACCACGGGCCCCGGTTCTCTTCTGTTTGCTCTTTGTACACATCGAGAGGAAAGACAGCACGCTCCTTGTGAACCGGTGTATAATGCCTGATACGCGATGCCTCTTCCTGCCTTGTTTCCTCGTGGATCCAGGAAATCGAGTTAAGTGTTAAGAAATGTTAACCGAGTGTTTTCATAGCGATTAGGAAGGGAGTGGAAAGAGAGAGGTTCGATCTTTTTTTTTTTTTTTCAGATTAGGATAAAAATGTGCGTTTCATTCACGAAATATCGAGTCATTTTATCGAGGAGGCTTTTCTCGAATCTTGGATCTTGAAATTTTGTATTGCGAGCAATACATCTGTTTTTATTCGATAAATTTTTTGAATCGCGTTACAGTTACGTAGCAAAGATTCGTTGGTTCTCTTGGTATTTGATATAAAATTAGTATTTATCTTGATTCGTGATTCTTATATCGCAAAGATTAGAAAGTTTTAAAATGTGAAAGATAAGAAGATCCGTGCAATTTCCATGGAATCTTGGTCGCGGGATTAAGCAATTTGAAGAGGTACCTGTTATTTTTGACCGCTGACCGATCATAGGTTTACTCATCTGGACCGGTCGTAAACCACCGTTTCTACCTGTTCTCGCTCCGAACCATCGTGGCGAGGATGAAGATTCTTTAACGAGTCCCTTGTGTTTTAGTTCTTGCCGGTAGACAACCTTCGGAAAAAAATAAATCAAAAGAGGAAAGGGGAAGAGGCGAACGAATAATATTCCCAATTCGAAATTCCGCGAAATATCTCGCATCCGAGATAAAAATATATCTTGCGTCGAACTTTTTAATCTCGTTTCAATGGAATTCGTGACGATGTGCCGCAAAATCTTATTATAATAACACGCTCTAGATCGCGGGACGAAAAATGAATAAATTTTTCATTATCTTCCCTTTCCAAAAAAAGAAATAAAAATTTCAAAACCAGAAATTTTTCATTTCCAATCTCCAATTTACTCAAAAAAATTGTAATCCGATTCAATGCCACTGTATGATCATTCCCCAATACCCCATCGAATCGCAAATTTTCCACTTGGAAACTAAAAAAGAAAAAAAAAGAAGAAACGAAACGCGTTATTTCCATTACATTCTACGTCCAGCAGAATTCCCATTTCTCAAAGTTCCTCGATCTATCTGTGGAGAATGAATCGCGACAAAGAATCGCGTGTCGCCTTTGCAAAAAAAAAAAAAAAAAAAAAAAAAAA